GAAATGATATGTTAAAGCATATGAGAGATTGTTTCAAGATCAAGTCGAGAAGAATCAAGAGTGGTTGGAGTTGCTAAGTCAGGGTTCCTAGGGTAAAATCCCCTGTTTAGTTCCCAAACTTCCAAGCCATGTAAGTCAAGATACAAGTCTCACATGACTTTGGCCCCCACATGAATGTTGTATAGAATGTTCATACCTTTAATTTGAGTACTAGAAGTCATCCATATGATTTGTAGAACTCAAGTTACTTTTGTCTTACAACAATTATGAATTAAACAATAAGAAATCACATATCATATATATATATATATATATATATATATATATATATATATATATATATGTGTGTGTGTGTGTGTGTGTGTGTGTGTGTGTGTGTGTGTGTGTGTGTGTGTGTGTGTGTGTGTGTGTGTGTGTGTGTGTGTGTGTGTGTGTGTGTGTGTGTGTGTGTGTGTGTGTGTGTGTGTGTGTGTGTGTGTGTGTGTGTGTGTGCGCGCGTGCGCGTGTTTGTGTTTGTGTGTGTGTATATGTGTTTGTATGTATATCAATTATTAATATATAATTATTCATTTTGCTCATTTTTAATTATTCTTACTAAAGATTTAATTTTTTTGATGATTATCGTAATTGGTTTCAAATGTTGTATAAATTATAGGTTCTTAACTACCGATGACAAATCTTATCATAGAACTTTTGGACAACCTACAAAAGTTTCTATTTAGTTATTACTTTTATTGTTTAATCATTTGCTTTAGTTTTATTGTGAAATTATAAGGTGTGCGCTGTTTTAACATTGCATATGGTGTATCCAATTAATATTTGTGGTAGGATGAGGAGAAAAAATACTCATAATTGCAAATCATATGCTTTCAGACAGAATCTCGTCGATGATGTATAAGCATTTTTTCAATCCCCAAACACAGGAGATATAAGGAGTTAATCCATAGTCAACCACTTCAAGCCTAGAAGTAGCAGTTTCCTTCGGATATTCAAACCATTACACTCAACCTGGGGCAGGGTAGTCTTCAATTAATCCAATCACTCACTTGAAGCAACAAAGCAAAATCCAAAAGACTGTTGTTCATCAATGACCCATGACTTGGCAGTCACAATCCTCCAACAAAAAAAAAAAAAAATCAAAAGCCTGCCAAGTCAAGCACCTCAAAGGGGACTTAGGCAAAAATCAAGGCAATCCCGATGGATCTGACAAGAAAAATCAATCCATGCAAAAGTTAGGGATCAAAAACAAAAGCAAAAGAGGTCCTCGAACCCTCAATAAAAACAAAATAAGATTCAGTGACTACCATATCAAAATCAAAAGGGTCACTGACATCCATCAAAACAAAATAAGGCGAGTGCCATTTTGAGCAAACTTTGAACCATCAAGTTTACACCAACAAGACAAGTATGTGCAAAATTGACTGAATGTAGGACTGGAGATCATCAAGAAGAAGGGGTGGGTACAAAATCATACTTTGAGCCTAATATCCTTTGTTTCATAAACCGTGAACCAGACCACGTTACAACACTCGAAAGACCTAATTGAGACGAGGTTTATTCTGAAAGCATACCATCGCAAGGTTGCGTAAACTGACTCCTCACATATTTGCTAATCACCAGCATTGGTGTCACTTTCCTTGCTATATCTTTCACACTAATCAAAATCAGCACAATGTCTGGGCTAACAGTCCATTCGTCTCACACTATCATGACACTCAATAAACAACACTTTTTCAAAACTTGCATGAACTTTGCATTAAGATTACCATTTATGAATGTACAATTTTATCAGTAAATCAATGCTAGGTATTCAAAGACACTCCATCAAAGGGGCAATCAAAGAAGAACTTGAGTTCTAGTGGTTGACACAAAGCAAGACTACCTCAAAACCCACAGGCTGGGGTAGGTCATTTCAATAGGTGTTCTTTCCCCGGGGCACTCATCGGAATAGGCGTTTATCCTCGGGGCGCTCACTCAAAAACCCTAGGAAGCTTTACCTATAGCGGCGGAGACCCGTACCTCTCCTCGGGGCATTCAACATGCCCCGACCATGGTCCTAAAACAAACGAGAAAAATAAAAGAAAGGAGAATAAAAACTTACTATATTGCGATCTGCGGCGGAGTGCGGGGCGGCTGTCACGACGGAGATATCAGACGGTAGCGAGGCGGCAGATCCTAGGGATTGAGAGCAAGAAGGCGAAAAGTGAATAGTGAGCGGGGGCTCACTTACTTATACCCCGGCACGGGACTCGAAGCGTCACTAGGCACTCAAGTACCCTAGGGTATCCGCCCTAGCAGCCACCCAGCGCATGACACGTGGCGAAGGCTGACAGTTGCGTCGCTTCACATCTCCTCGCCAACACGTGTCCTCAGCCCCGGACGCCCGATGACGAGGAAGGACTCACGTGCTCACGTCCCCGCGGAACGCGAGCTGGAGGGTTTTCTCCTCAGGCTAATCTCTCCTCCCCAGCACAACGTCATAAAGTCCTCGCTCCCTCCCTCGGAGCTACGACTTGGGGGGCTCCTGTTCTGGCCTGGGCCCCGACCTGACCGGGCAGGCCCAACCCAATAATATTCTATCAAGCCCAATCCAGCTTGGGCCATAGCCGTCGGGTATAGAGTCCCCGCCGGGCAGACTATGTCCCTCCGCGGGCAGAACCTTCCTCATCTTAGTCGAGCACAAGACTCCCCGTCGACCAGACACTGCCCTCGTCAGACAGAACCTCCCTCCACGGGCAGAACCTTCTCCCTTGTCGAGCAGAACAGCGTGTCCTTCACACATTCTCCACGTGCCGCCCTCCGCGGGGACACGTCACCAACCAACTGCCCACCTCCGAAAGAGCAGGCCAAACCCACTTTCCGGAGATCACGGGACAGTTGAACTAGGGCGAAGACCACATTTTGGTCTTCACTACGCCACGTAAGCCCTAACAGTCACTTGTGTTGGGCCTGACCATCCAGCCCAACTCAAATGACCGTTGATCCTACGCTGTGGTCTCTCTATAAATACCCTCTTTCACAAGAGGGTCAGGTATTCACTTCTTACCCTTTTCTGTATTTGTGACCACTCTGTCCATACGCTTACTTTGGCATCGGAGTGTCTTGCAGGTACACCCCTTCCTCTTATTTAATATTGGACTTGTCATCTAGTTCTATAAATAATAAAAAGACAGAAGTTAGAGATCGAACACATGTGTTGATAACTTTTACTCTCGATTATTTAAAAACCGAGGGATGAAGTTGGCATTTTTTTCACGCCCTTCGTTACCTCGTCTCTGTAGTAGTGTCATGATATTGATTATAAATATAGACAAATAAAACAGATCATGAAGAAAAGAATTTCTATTAAAAATCAATAAAACAGATTATGGAGAAAAGAACTTATAGTACCAAACAACACAAAACAATATATAATAAGAACTTATTGTGATAATATGATCCGCAGCACATGTTTGCATGTGAGCATTCTGGATTAAAGAATAAAAAAATTGGGCATTGAAAATAAAATAAACACGTGCAAAGGCATTGTGTTTTTATATATATCCATGTTGCTTTCCTTGTATTTGCGTTTGTATATATATCCATGTTGCTTTCCTTGTATTTGCTCACAACACAACCTTTCCTTATCATAGAACTTTTGGACAGCCTACAAAAGTTTCTATTTAGTTATTACTTTTATTGTTTAATCATTTGCTTTAGTTTTATTGTGAAATTATAAGGTGTGCGCTGTTTTAACATTGCATATGGTGTATCCAATTAATATTTGTGGTATAACGTTTCTGTTTAAAATATTGGCAAAATTTACCAGTTTCTGTTTCATGAAATATTTAAAATATGGTTTTATATTTTGTGATATATATATATATATATATATATATATATATATATATATATATATATATATATATATATATATATATATATATATATATATATATATATATATATATATATATATATATATATATATATATATATATATATATATATATATATATATATATATATATATATATATATATATATATATATATATATATATATATATATATTGATATTTAATATTGGACTTGTCATCTAGTTCTATAAATAATAAAAAGACAGAAGTTAGAGATCGAACACATGTGCTGATAACTTTTACTCTCGATTATTTAAAAACCGAGGGATGAAGTTGGCATTTTTTTCACGCCCTTCGTTACCTCGTCTCTGTAGTAGTGTCATGATATTGATTATAAACAGACATTCGAAAGAATACCTTGTCATAAAAAATATGGTGATATACATGGTCAATCACATTTTTATCACGATAAATAGCTACGTATTGGTGCTGAGATTTGAACCATTTCACTCCATGTACCTTTTACTACAGTTGCTTCATTTGACAGTTGTTCATGCGAAGACTTGGAATTCGAGAATTTCGGGCCGGTGCAAAGATAATAAGGTCTTCTCAATTTGGTTTTTTTCGTGCTGGATTTTATGGAGGGCTAGAAATAATATTATTTTCAATCATGCAACCTTTGATGTAGACGACATTGTTGTCGATATTAAAGCTTCATCGTGGAATTGGTTGATTCTAGATAGGAAGGATAGTAAGCATTGTAGCTTGTACGAGGGATTTAAATTTGTGTTTCATTTCTTGTAGTAGTCCAGAACCTGAAAGTGGTTGTTGTATTATTGTCATCAAGAAAAAATTGTATTAATGGTAATAAAATACATTATAATATTTCTTATAAAAATATTATGACATTTTATTGATATTATTTAGTTAATAAAAATAAATGAAACATTAGCATATGCTTTGTGATGATATGATCCGCAGCACATGTTTGCATGTGAGCATTCTGGATTAAAGAATAAAAAAATTGGGCATTGAAAATAAAATAAACACGTGCAAAGGCATTGTGTTTTTATATATATCCATGTTGCTTTCCTTGTATTTGCGTTTGTATATATATCCATGTTGGTTTCCTTGTATTTGCTCACAACACAACCTTTCCTTGATGACAAAAAGTGGTTACATCAATGCTGCTATTCGTTCATCTAACACCAACGAAGCTTACTTTTTCATCAATGATAAGTACATTTTGTTGGATTATGCTCCAGGAACAAGCAACGACAAGCTTTTGTACGGGCCTATTCCTCTTCGTGATGGGTTTAAATCACTTAACCACACCATATTTGGAAGCTACGGGATAGATTGCAGCTTTGACACTGATAACAATCAGGCATTCATCTTTTATGAAAATTTTTGTGCTCTCATAGACTATGCTCCACACTCTGACAAAGATAAAATCATCTCAGGTCCTAAGAGAATCGCTGACACCTTTCCTTTTTTCAAAGGAACCGTGTTTGAAAAGGGAGTAGATGCTGCCTATAGATCATCAAAAGGCAAAGAAGTTTACTTATTCAAAGGAAATCAATATGCTCGTATAGACTATGGCAGTAACAAGCTCGTTCAAAATATCAAGAACATTACTGGAGGGTTTACTTGTTTCCGTGGAACAATCTTTGAAAATGGAGTGGATGCAGCTTTTGCTTCTCACAAGACCAATGAAGTTTACTTCTTCAAAGATGACTACTATGCACGTGTAGACGTTACCCCAGGCGCATCAAATGATGTCATTATGGATGGTGTCAGGAAAACTCTTGACTACTGGTCATCTCTTCGTGGCATCATACCTCTTAAAAGTTAACAATTTCTTTTTCAGTTGTAATCAAAGTGTGGATTTTCATGTTTTCCACACATTTACTTGTTGCTTTCTTATGTTTCTTCTTGTAATCAAAGTGTGGCTTTTCTTCTTTTCCACACATTTACTTATTGTTTTCTTATGTTTCTTTTTGTAATAAAAGTGTTGCTTTTCCTTTGCTTTTCCTTCTTTTCCACACATTTACTTATTGTTTTCTTATGTTTCTTTTTGTAATAAAAGTGTTGCTTTTCCTTCTTTTCCACAAATTTATAATATGAGAATGTGGTCTCATTAGAGATCTTTGAAGATGTTTTCCTAAATTATATATTCTATTTTTTCACCTATTTTTAAAACAAGTTTTAAACTTAAAAGTTATTCTATTTTAATATTTTGATTGTCTCTACTAAAGTTTAATGCCATGCTTTCTAATAGAATTGTTAAATACTTATTTCTTCATGTCTATCTTTTATCCGCAGCAGACCCAGTTTAATATTAAGCATTACTGCCAAATTCCAGCTAAAAATGCAGGATATTGAATATTTTCTCGGCCCCATGAGACTTATCTAAAAACGTGGGGTATTGAATATTTTGCAGCAGACCTAGTTTAATATTTAGCATTATTGCCATGTGTAGCTAAAAAGATGGGATATAGAATGGAATTTTAATATAAATGTATCAGATCAAGCATGGAAATTTAATATTTAGCATTCTTGCCACGTAAAGCTAAAAATATGGGATAAAGCACTTTGTTAAAATTGTAGTATAAAGCTTGACTGATTATATATTTCTGTTTAGATGAAACTAATTTTATGTATCGATCGTTTGATTTTATAGGAGAACAACAACAATTGAAAACAGGAATTACCTGCGGAATTTTATGTGGAAATATATTCGCAGATATACCTGGGATTTTACCTGCGATTTTAATTTGAGAAGTATTATTTCCTACGAAAATTGAGGTAGCAGCAAAGTTCGTAGAAATTCCTGAGACTTTACCTACGATTTTGAATTTATAATAATATATCCTGCGACATTTTCCTGTGATATTTCCTACGACATTACCTGTTAAATTAATTACCCACAAAGGTTTTAGTTAGGAACAGAAAATAGCAGGTAACACGGTTCCTACGAAAATTTTGTCAAAATCCGCAAGTAAATCTGCAGAAAGTAGAGTTTTTCTAGTAGTGTGAGAGATACACAGTAAAATTATGATCCTGAAGAATGATTAACTGGTTATCTAGATTTGGTTTAAAATCTTAGATTTGTCAAACAAATGATTCATACAGGTATTTGTACGAAATCATTTTCATAAAAACAATTTATAAAATCTTTACTTGAGTAAGTCATCCTTGTTAGTGAAACATGAAGTAATACTTAAAATATTTTAAGGAAAAATTCCAAGTTTTCACTTGTTTGTTGTGATTTCATGTCGGATGAGGTGTCATAGTTAAGGAGGTTATAATTGCATTCCTTTTGTCTTTGTAACTTTGGGTCTTGAAATCATGTCACTATTAGAAAAACTCTATTTTTCTGCGAAATTACCTGCAGGTTTTGATAAAGTTTTCGCAGGAAACGTGTTACCTGCGATTCTTCCTGCTATTTTCTGTTTCCAGCTAAAACCTTCGTGGGTAATTAAGTTAGCAGGTAAAGTCGCAGGAGATATCGCAGGAAAATGTTGCATGGAATATTATTATAAATCCAAAATCGCAGGTAAAGTCTCAGGAATTTCTGCGAACTTTGCTGCTGCCTCAATTTTTGCAGGAAATAATACTTCACAATATAAATTCGCTGGTAAAATCGCAGGTACATCTGCGGAAAAGTTTTCACAGGAAAATCCGCAGTTAATTCCTTTATTTCTAGTAATGTGTGCTTAAATTCCAAACCCTCTTGCCATAGAGGTGTGAACACAAAATTGACCTTTTTCTAGTTGGTACATCAGAATAATTACTATTAACTATCTTAAGACGTTTATATCAAACTAGTTTTTAATTAATTTCTTAACAAACTTCTAACGATATCCCTTTGGAGGCAAAACAAATATTTGTCTTTTTTTTTACTGATAGTTGATTTGAACATCTTGTATTCACACTATCATAGTTTTGAGTTTAGGTTTAAGTATAATTAGTTAACAAGACAGGCTATTAAAGAGTGTAAGGTGAGTAATGGCAGGTGATCTAGAGTTTTTATTATGGTTAAACTATGGTTAAATAAAATTTATCTATGTATTTATCACATTTAAATTGTGATTAAATACAGTCTTACACATTTTGTCACATTTAAATCAGGACTAAATTGAAACTCCATTGGCCTTTTAAAAGTTAAAGATGGTTTGATTAGTTAGTCTCAAATTAATTATGAACTACCTAAATATTTGATTTATAAAAGATGTGATTTATATTTATAATGATTTAAAGTTTTTTTTTTGTTGGAGATGTGGTATTCTAATCTCTATATGGTCTCGGATCTTTAGTCTTTTCTTACTCTCAATAATTGGTATCAGAGAACAAATCTGACTCAGTAGGGTACTAAAATCCTAGTGTGATGGATCCTTGAATTGAAATCTAAAGATGGCTTGAGATGTTAAATAATGTACCGCTAGTAACCCTGAAAGCTTAAAGCACTCACAAAAGGATCATTGTACGTCGCCTATCAGAGACACAATGGTATTCAAGTGAAGTAGAAAAATTATAGAAAGGTCCACACCTTTTAATACTCATTGGGATCAAATATGGCTCGAAATCCCCCATAAGCACGAATGTTGGTTATCAGACCGAATATTGCTATCAGCTCAAGAATGGGATAAAATCACTACGCCAGAATTGACATTTAGCAGCGCATACAAAGACAGCGCTTTCTGAAGAATCGCTGCTAAAGAGTCTTAAAAAAAATTGCATACCTACGACAACGCTTCCTAAAAAAGCGCTGCTAAAGGGGGGGTCTAAGAAAGCGCTTTTGAAAAGCGCTGCTAAAGGGGGGCCTAAGAAAGCGCTTTTAAAAACCGCTGCTAAAGGGGGGGGGGGTCTAAGACAGCGCTTTTAAAAAGCGATGCTAAAGGGGGGGTCTAAGACAGCGCTTTTAAAATAAGCATTGCTAAAAGGGGGTCCTAAGGCATACCTATAGTAGCGCTTTTATAAGCGCTGCTAAAGGTAAAAAAAAACGCTGCTATAGGTTTAAGTAGCATAAATTTTACAATTCCCAATTAAATCGCAGAAACATAACAGTGTTCGTCTTCTTCTTTCCCAGACGTTCTCCGAGGTTTAAATCTGAATAGAAATGAAAATTGGATAGTACGTGAGCACAATAGAAGTTTTATGACATGGTTCAAAGAGCATATTTTTTCAAAGTTTTATTCTGATCTCGCTTCAATAACAGAAAGGTTGAGATGTTTAGCATATGCTCCAAGTTTGCATGTGTTTTCTTATAGCGCATACGCAATTAATGGATACACATTTTATACCAAGGAACAAGATGATAAAAGCACAATGCAAAATAGTGGTGTCACCGTGCTTGCCGAAGCAATGCACATTTCCTCGTATTTTGGGGTAATCGAGCGCATTTGGGTGTTTGATTATGAGAAGTTTCAGATTCCTATTTTTGGATTCAAGTGGGTTGAAAATAATAGTGGCATACGAATGGATAAGTCAGGTTTTTTGCAAGTGGATCTTAATAAGGTGGGGTACAAAGATGAACCTTTTATTCTAGCCACGCAAGCTAAACAAGTGTTCTATGTCACTGATCCGACAAGTACGAAATGGTCTATAGTTCTTTTTTCCAACAAAGTAATCGATGATAACATTGGAGAAAAGAGGGATGTTGATGTTGAGAATGAATCTTATATTATGGATGATCCAGATGAGAATATTAGAGCAGACAAATCATATATTAGAAATGATCATAACGAAGGAATTTGGATCAATCCATCCGTCTGTGTTGTTAAGAGACAAGTAAACCACGTTCAAACTAAGAAAAGAAAGAGATGTTAAAGGTACTTGTAAAATTACATATTGTCTCATTCAATTAAATTACATATTATTTCTTATTTATACGTACCATGTTTTTCTTATTTATACATTTCTTATGTATGTATATATTTCTTATTTACATATTTGCATGTCATTCATTTGATACTTTGGTTTTTCTGAATTACAGGTAAATTATGGCCAACAATGAGGAAACATCAGATGATGGAAAACATACAACTGATATTAACCGATATCACATGGTATGGATCAATTCATAAGTTATATGATTCATTTTGATAATTAACCGATATTTCATCTGAGTAATTAGTTTTAGAATTAAATCGTGCATGTTCTGTTATATTATGTAGTATTATGATGAATTCAAGTGAGGAACTTACTCGAAGGCAAGATTGGAAGAAATTAAAGAGGAATGGTGTCAATTTATTCTAGAGTTGAGAATTGTATAAATGTATAAGTCGTGTCTATTTGTAAAGTTAACGGATTTGTAATTATATGTAAATTGACTGTATTTGTGATGTTGTATTGTGTATATAATGTCAAAGTGTTGAATTGTGTATATAAGGCTAAAGTGTTGAAATAAAGGGATGAATTGTATAAGCAGGGAATGTAATATAAGCAGGTTTATTGAAAAATATATAAAAAATGTGATTATTCAGAAGAAAAAAAAATTTCAAAACGTGCACATTAGACAACGCTTTTATGTAAAAGCGCTGCTAAAGGGGACAGAGAGAGTGCTAATAAAGTGCTGCTATAGGTGGGGAAAGGGGGGGTCTAAGAAAGCGCTTTAAAAAAGTGCTGCTAAAGGGGGGGGTCTAAGTCAGCGCTTTTAAAAAGCGCTGCTAAAGGGGGGAGGGGGAGGGGGAATAGGCAGCGCTTTTAAAAGCGCTGCTAAAGGGGTAAAAAAGCGCTGCTAAAGGGAGCCTTTAGCAGCATTTTTTCCACAAAAAAAGTGTTGCCTTTACCTTTAGCAGCGCTTTAAAGCGCTGCTAAAGGCCAAAAAAAGCGCTGCTAAAGGTCCTTTTT